AAAAAAAAAAAAAAAAAAAAAAAAAAAAAAAAGAAGAACATCAGGTGTGCGGAACTCTGCTGGTCTTGGAAAGGTTGGTCACAACGCATGATTCTGTTTTCTCATCCTCATATGATGCAGTTTCATCTATGAGTTTAACAAGAAAATTCAAAAGTCAACGCATTTGACTAGAAAAAAAATTATTTCTTCTAGACTTCTGTACTTCTTTTTTTTTTTGAAAGCCCCTCTAAATCTCCTGTCTCTCATAGTAGCATAGGACCTTCTATATTTTATAAACATAAATTTAGCCAGAAGGTTTCTTGTGCAGAAAGCTACCAGCGATCCATGTTTAGATCCTTCAATATCTTCTAAGTAACTAATTTTTTCAAATTAGGACTTCTGCTGAAGTGCAATACGTTTTGTCTGAGCAAAACGTGGAAAGTGACTTAAGTGACGAATTGAGAGAAGCGGAGACTGCAAGGTTTGAGAACTGAAAAGTTTTCAGAGAGCGAGAGAGAGAGAGTTTTCAGAGAGATAAACCTGGAAGTCGCAAAATTTTTTGTAATTCTTGAGCAAAGTTTAGCTATTGAAGTGATAAGAACGTTTGAAAATGGCATTGAAAAGGAGACTAAGGCAATAGTAAAGTGAAGTGCAGAGTGCTGAGGTACCGTTAGTTTACGGTGAATATGCGAAGAGATAGGGTTGCAAACACTTTGTGCATTCCGCAGCGAATAATGTTTTTAGAGTGACTAAGCTTTTTGTTGAGGCCGCCGTGTTCCCGTCACCGTATTTTATTTCCCCTGCCTCTCTGACTTTTGTCCATTTGCCAATCACATATTTATTTTGCATGTGGTACACAATCATAACTTTCTCGACCGCTTAGCATCTCACACACAGTTCTGTCTGATTGCGCAGCAATACTGTATGGAACTGATCAGGCAACATTTGCTAACAATTTTTTACTTAGTGGAGTTCAGTGTTTTGCTTATAACTATTGGTTTTATTGTGCTATTTTTAGTCTACCTCGTCAATAGTAGCTTTAACTTTGATGTGGCGAATGCAACACATCAAAGCTTCCCATGTTATTTGTATATTACAAGTCCTTCTAGCTCTTGTTGCAGCTAGTTTTTACTGTTAGTACCTGACAGCTGCTATCTTAAGAAATGCTCCTTCTCGCAAGGGAAAAAATATAAAATAGAGTACTAAAATGCTTCATTCTTTATAAAGATTTCATGGCAAAAACGTCTCTAGTTGTTCAAACACACCATACTTTAA